GCGCGACGTCGCCGGGCGCGAGCGACGGCGCGGCCGGCGCGGCCGCGTCCTGCCAAAATGCGTGCAGCGTCTGTGCGCTGGCGCTCGCGTCGACACGCGCGTCGGACGGCGTGCTGTGCGCTGCGAGCGCGCGTGCATCCAGGGCCGCGTCTGGATGCGCAAATTCCAGCAGGGCGCCGATCATGCACACGCCCAGCTCGGCCCACTCGGTCTCGAGGAGCATGGCGGCCCGGGGCACCTCGGTGAGGGGCACGGCGCTGTCGCTGCGCAGGACGAGCTGCGCGAGGTTGTGCAGGAGGGGCGACGCTGGCTCGATGCCCAGGGCCCACGCGTGCAGCGCGTCGCGTGCGCCAGGGTCGGGGTGCACCCCCTGCACGCTCTTGCACAGAAAGTAGGCGGCGGCGAGCGGCTCGTCGCGGTGCAGGGCGGCGAGGCGCAGGTACGCACGCGCCTGGTCCGGCTCGTCCACGGCGCTGCGGCTGTACCAGTGCGTCGCGGTGAGGCGCCATGCCTCGCGCTCCAGCGGGCGCCATGCATCGTGCATCGAGATCTCCGCGTCGAGGGCGTCGACGTAGCGCTCCGCCAGGCGCGCGAGCCATTTCGCGCAGGCGCGCCGCACACGTAGCTCGCTGGCGCCTTCCCATAGGACGCCGACTGTCGCGTACGTCTCGGTGATGGCGTACTCAAGCAGATGGTCGGCGACCATCCGGACCGGCATGTCGAGGGGCCCGTCGGTCGGCGTGGCCATGCGCAGGCGCTCGTGCGGCGTGTGGACTTCGTCGCTGCGCCACGCCGCGAGCGCCGCTAGGGGCGCGTCAATCGCGCGCGACCCGAGCCGCAGGAGCACACTGTGCATCTCCGGCAGCTGGCGCGCGTGGGCCTGCCGCGACTCGCGCTGAAGGAGCTCGACGAGTGTAGCGCCGGTATTGATAGCGCTGCGTGTCAGGGCATGTACGTACTGGCGCTGGTGGTAGTAGAGGCGCCGCGCAGAGGCCGCATCCGTCACGGGCGCCGTGAGCGCGGCCTCGTGCTGGTCGAGCCGCGCAAGCAGTCCGGACGCCGAGTCAAGCGCGCGCGCCCGGCGTGTGCGTGGCGGGCGGCTCGACGACGGCAGAGAGAGTATGCTGGTGGGCGTGCCGGGTGATCCCGTGTGCGCACCCATTGCCTCAGGGGAGCAGGGCATGGGGGGCTCGTCGTCCAGGGCGGCCTGCAGGCACGGGCGATCGGCGCCGCTCGTTCGCGCTTCGCAACGCATCGCCGTGGGGGAGGTGCGAGCTGCTGACGTCAGCGTCATCGCGGCGCGTGGCCGCGCCGCAGGCGCCGCCGCTGCATGCTGCGTCGCGGCCGCTTGGCCCTGTCTCGATCGATGGCCTTGCTTCGCACGATGGCGCCGGCGCCGCCGGCGCATTTGACCGATACTGTGGCGGTGCGTGGCCTCGAGGTGCGGATGCACGCAGGGCTCGACGCGTGGGGCCGTGCTGTGCCGCAGCCGGTGCGTGTCGATGCCGTGCTCCGCACGGATGTGGCGCGGGCAGGCCAGAGCGACCACCTGCCGCACAGCCACAACTACGGCGTGCTGTACCGCGCCATCGAGGCACTGCGCGCTGCGCCAGCCGGCACGGACCTCGCACAGGTCGCCGAGGACGCCGCGCGTGCGTGCATCGCCGAGTGCCATGCGCCGTGGGCGGAGGTCACTGTGCGCCTGCCGCGCGCCCTGCTGCGCGCGCGGTACGTCGGCCTGCACATGGTGCGCACGCGCGATGCCGACGATGCGCTGCGCGCGTCCGACTACCTCATGCTGCATGGCATCGAGACCTTTGCGATCCTTGGCGTGAATCCGTGGGAGCGCGTCGAGAAGCAGCGCGTCGTCGTGGACGTGGACGTGTGGCCGCCCTGCACGGCGCCGGCCGCGTACCGCGCCCTGGCGCGCGATGTGTGCGAGTGTGTCGACGCATCGTCGTTCCTCACGATCGAGTCGCTCGCCACGCACGTCGCGCACCAGCTCCTGCAGGCTCATGCGGTCGAGCAGGTGCGCGTGCGGATCGACAAGCCGAGTGCCATCATGCACGCGCAGTGCGCGAGTGTGCAGGTCGTGCGCGACCGCGCGTTCTTTGCGCTGCCGCCTGTCGTCGGCGAGCAGGCGCCGGCGGCCACCGTGGCCCTCGCGCTCGGCGCCAACCTGGGCGACCGCGCCGCGAACCTGCACGATGCCGTGCGGCGCCTGGACGCGCATCCGTCGATCCGCGTCGTCGATACGTCCTTCCTATACGAGACGGCGCCCATGTACCTCACGGAGCAGCCGCGCTTCCTCAACGGCGCCTGCAAGATCCACACGACGCTCCCGCCGCACGAGCTCCTGCAGGTGTGCCAGCAGGTGGAGAGGGACGTCGGCCGCGTCAAGGCGGGCGTGCCGCGCAACGGGCCGCGCGCCGTCGACGTGGACATTGTGCTGTATGGCAGCGAGGTCGTCGCGGACGGCGAGCACCTCGTCGTGCCGCACCCGCGCCTCGCCGAGCGCCCGTTTGTGCTGTATCCCCTCTGCGACATCTGGCCGGACGCCCCGCACCCCCAGCTGCACACGCCCGTGCGCGCGCTCCTGCCGCCCGCGCCCCCGGCCGACATGGCGCGCGTGCTCGCGTGGGGCCCGCATCTGTGGCCCTGGGGCGCGCGCACGTACGTGATGGGCATTCTGAACGCGACGCCCGACTCGTTCTCTGATGGCGGGCGCCACGACAATGTCGCGCGCGCCATGGCGACGGCGCGTGCCATGGTCGCGGCCGGCGTGCACGTCCTGGACGTGGGCGGCCAGAGCACCGCGCCGGGCCGTCCGGAGGTGCCGGCCGACGAGGAGGCGGCGCGCGTGCTCCCCCTGATCCGCGCGCTGCGTGCCGATCCCGAGACGCAGCGCGTGCCGATCTCGATCGATACGTACCGCGCGGACGTGGCGCGCGCGGCGCTGGCGGCGGGGGCGTCGCTCGTGAACGACGTGAGTGGCGGCGCGCGCGACGCGGCGATGCTTCCGCTGGTCGCCGCGCAGGGGTGCCCGTACGTCGTCATGCACATGCGGGGCGATGCCCAGAGCATGACGCGCCTCAGCACATACGAGGGCGGCGTCGTGCCGGACGTCGCCGCCGAGCTGGAGGGCGCCGTCGCGCGTGCGCTGGCCGCGGGCGTGCCGCGGTGGAACGTGATCGTGGACCCCGGGGTCGGCTTTGCCAAAGATACCCATGGGAACGTGGCCCTGCTGCGCGGGCTGCGCGCGCTCACGGGCGCGCCGGCCGGCGAGCTGGCGGCGCCCAGTGGTGCGCCGCGTGCCCTGCGGCACATGCCCGTGCTCCTTGGTGTGAGCCGCAAGCGCTTCCTGCGCGAGCTCGTCGCGCAGCCGGAGGCGGACGAGGCGCAGCGGGACCGCGCGACCATGGCGGCGTGTGCGGCTGCGCTGTCGACGGGCTGTGTGGACGTGGTGCGCGTGCACGACGTGCGGGCGGCCGTGGATACCGTGCGTACGTGTGATGCCATTCTGCGGCCTATGTAAAGCGGTCCGGGAAGAGGACGGGCGCCAGGAGCGTCCATTGGTACGCGAGCCCACACACCCAGGCCGACAGGATGCGGATCCACATGGCCGCGCTGCTCGTGCCGATGAAGGTGACGAGCTGTTCGCCCGTGTCGCGGTGCTGCACCGACTGCCAGTCGGTCAGGAGCATGGCCGTGTAGCAGATGCCCGGCACAAAGATGAGATGGAACTTGCTGTAGTGGTAGCGCACGCCCTCGTACTCGTCGTCGTTCACATGCCGGCGGTCGCGCGGCGCGTCGGCTGCCGCCTGCGCGTCCAGCTCGTCGTCGAGGACCGAGCTCGGCAGGGAGCCGGCCTCGACCGCCGAGCGGATGGCCGCGATGCGCAGTGTCGACTGCGGCGCGGGCGGCGTCGTGATCGGCTCCGTGAGCGAGACAGGCGCCGCCTCGAGCGCGATCGGGCCGCCGGCCGTGCTGTCGCGCATCAGGGGCGAGTGCGTCGCAGCGCGCGTCGTCGAGTAGGCAATGGTCGCAAATGTGAAGAGGGCGCTCGCCACGACCGTGGAGGTCTGGACGCCCTCGCCGCGCCCGCGCGCGATGGGATTGCACGCCGCGTCGTCGTGCTGCATGAGCGCCGACGCGAGGAGATACGTCATGTACGCCGTGACCACGCCGCACTGTGCGAGGCCGCTGCGTGGATTCGCCTCCTGCACGGGCCGGCTCACGGAGGAGCCGGTCAGAGCGACGTAGAACGCGATGTTGATCCAGATCATGCTCCGGTTGCCGGTGCACGAGCCGCGGCCCAGAAACACCCAGAGCAGCATCGACCCGACGATGGCCACGGCATGCGTGCCGAGCGTGGAGCCGAGCAGGAGGTACTTGTGCAGCTCCGAGCCGCGCTCCCACCGGTCGAGGCACTCCTCTGTCCACGTGTGCGCAAAGTCCACGAGGAGCACGAGACTCTGCAGGATGAACACCAGCGCGAGGCACGGCGCCACGTAGTTCGCCCACACGAGGAAGAAGCCGCTGGGGAGGAGGAAGGCGAGCGTGACGAGAAGGAGCCACGCAAAGACCTTGGGGCCCCACCAGCCGTTCTGGATCGCGGCCTTCGGCGAGCGCGAGTCGTGCACGTCGACGAGGAGCGCGGCCAGGAGCAGGTGCAGCAGGGCAAGCGCAAAGGTGATGCGGTGCACAGCCAGAACGCCGACGCACGTCTCCTGCTCAATGCACGAAAGCTGCACGTAGCGGAACGTCCAGTGCTCGAGCGAGCGCGCGAGGCTGGGCGCGAGGCTCAGCCACGCCACCAGCGCGTCCACGCAGAACAGCAGGGCATAGCCCACGCGCGTCGCGACCGACGAGCGGAAGTGGCACGGCTGGCATATCATCGACGCCGCTGCCGACGTACATAGCGACACGCAGGCAGCCGTGCAGCAGGACGCCACGGGCGACAGCAGCCACGGCACAGAGAGGACAGCCCCCATGGCGGTGGCGGAGGGGCCAGCCTCCACTCCTGTCCTCGACGCCGCGGCATGGCGTGCGCGAGGCTGTGGCGCGGGCCCTTCGCGGCCCGCGGCCCGTGTGCTCTGCGCGTGCGGGGCGTGGCCACCGACGCGCATGTGAAGCGCAAGGCGGATATGGCGCGCAACCGCAAGGCGCGCCACTTTGTCGACACGCTCGTCGTCGAAGTGCAGGCCGGCCACGGCGGCGACGGGTGCGTGTCGTTCCACCGCGAAAAGTATGTGCAGATCGGCCCGGCCGCGGGCGGGCATGGCGGCGCAGGTGGCGACGTGTACCTGCGGTGTGATCCGTCGATCCACTCGCTCGCACGCGTGCCGAAGCGCGTCGTCGCGCAGAATGGCACGCACGGCGAGGGCGGCTGGCTCCACGGCCGGGGCGGGCGCGCCGCTACGATCCATGTGCCGGTCGGCACGACCGTGCGCAGCCTGGGCTGGACGACGAACGAGCGCCTCGCGCAAGCGCAGCCGTATCTAGCGCATGTGCAGTCCGCGCGCGCGCGCAAAGCCGTCACGATCGACGTCGCGACGACGCCCGAGCTAGCGCACTCGCGCTCGTGTGTGTGGCGCCACTTTCCGCGCTTTGAAGAGGACAACTACGAGCGCGCGCACTTTGCTGCGGCCGAAGCGAAGCTCGCGCAGGAGCTGCACGCCTACCGCGCCATGCTGCGCCACCTGCCGAAGGCGCAGCAGAGTGTGGCCTCGCAGTCGCGCTGGACTGCGTGCGAGCCGCGCAACGCCACGGCGCGCACAGCGGAGGCGGGCTGGTCGCTCGATCTGCTGGACCCGACGCCGCCCTCCGAGCCGGGCGTGCTCCTGGCGCGCGGCGGCGCGGGCGGCTTTGGCAATCCGCACTTTCTGCTCGAGCGGTACCATGCGCCGAAAATCGCGACGCGGGGCATGCCGGGCGAGTCCCTGCTGCTCGCTCTCGAGTACAAGCAGCCGTCGGACGTGGGGCTCGTGGGGCTGCCCAACGCAGGGAAGAGCACGCTGCTGCGCTGCCTGAGCCGCGCGGACGCCGAGGTGGGCTCGTACAGCTTCACGACACTGCGCCCGAACCTGGGCGTGATGCACCTGGGCGCCGATGGCCGCCTGCTCGGTGCCCACAGCGAGCAGCCCGAGTCGCAGCGCCTACGCGTCGCGGATATGCCGGGGCTGATCGAGGATGCGTCGCGCGATCGCGGCCTAGGCCACGATTTTCTGCGGCACATGGAGCGGTGCAGCGCGCTGGTGGCTGTGGTGGATATGGGGCCCCTGAACCCGCGCCCTGGCATGGACCTGGTCATCGTGCGGCGCGAGCTCGAGGCGTACCGCGCCGGGCTCAGCGACCGCATCGCGCTGGTCGTGGCGAACAAGGCGGACCTGCTAGGCGAGGGCAGCAGCTCGGCGCGTGCCGAGGCGCAGGACAAGCTTGCAAAGCTGCGCTATGACGTCGATGCCCTCTTTGCGCCTCGCACGGTGCCGGTGGTGCCCATCTCGGCCAAGCTGCGCCTCAACATAGACCGCCTCGTGCAGCAGCTGCCCCGGCTGCCACGGCATGATTAGTCATCATCGAGCGCCGCCACCGCCGGCCGCCTCGCCGAGCCGGCCCTTCCTCGATGATGTCGATTCGACCCCTCTGTCGCGTCGCGCACCGCACGGCGCATGCGGCGCTAGGTGTGCGCGCGTACTCCCAGGGCGCCGCTGCGCCGCGTGCGCCCAAGGAGCGCATGCAGATGGGCGCTCCGGGCCCGGTGGCGCCGGCCGAGTCGGTGGCCGCGAAGCGCTCCAAGGTCTCGGACAAGATCCAGCAGCGCGCGCAGAAAAAGGCCGCACTCACGCTCACGCCCGAGGCCGTGTCGCATATTCGCGCGCTACTGCATGCGAGCGACGGCCCCAAGCTCTTGCGCGTCGGCGTGCGCAACAAGGGGTGTGCGGGTATGAGCTACCACCTCGAGTACGTGACGCCCGGCGAGGAAGGACGCTTCGATGAGCGTGTGCAGCAGGACGGCGTGGAAGTGCTGATAGACTCGCGCGCGCTCTTCAGCATCATTGGCTCCGTGATGGACTGGCAGGAAGACCGCATGTCCGCCAAGTTCGTGTTTAACAACCCGAACATCAAGGACGCATGCGGCTGTGGCGAGTCGTTCATGGTGTAGTTGCCTATCCATAGATACCCTAGCTACGACCCCCCAGGGTCATGTCGAAGAACGACTGCGCCAGCTGCAGCGCCTCCTCGACGTCGGCGGGCGTCGCCTCGCCCTGGCCCTGCGCGCCATCGGGCTTGCCGCCTCCGCGGCCCTGCAGCTTCTCCGACACGGCCTGGTTCCACTTGACCGCGTCGAGACCGCGCTCGAGCACGGCCGATGGCACATAGTTGCTGAAGAGCGCCTTGCCCTTGGCAGCGTGCGCGTCATGGGCAAACAGATACACGGGCTTGTTCAGCTTCTTGGCCGCGGCGACGCCCGACTGCAGCGCCTTGGCGTTCACGCCGACGGGGAGCTTGGCAATGTACACGGGTGCCTCGGGGTTCTCGGCAAAGAACTGCGTCACGGCCTCCTGCGCGGCCTTGACGTCCGCCGCGGCGCGCGCCTTCAGACGCGTGTCAAGCTCCTTGCGCACCTTGGCGAAGCGCGTCTTGAGCTCGTCCTTGCGCACGACGCTCATGTCCATGCGCGCGAGTTCCACGCTGAACGCCTTGAGCTGCGCATCTTTCTCGGCGTCGTCGGTCACCTGCGCCATCGCATCGAGGCGCGCCGCAGCCTCGTCGGCCGTGCGCGTCACCGTCGCAGCCTCGTCGCCCGTCACCGCCACAATGCGGCGCACGCCCTTGGCAATGCCGCTCTCCTCCGTGACGATCAGGTGGCCAATCTCGCCGGTGCGCTGCACGTGCGTGCCGCCACAGAACTCCACGGACGTCGAGCGCCAGCGGGGGTTGGTCAGGTCCGCGGCCATCTCGTCGACGCTGTACTCGAGCGCGACCACGCGCACGGGGTTGGGGTACGACTCGCCGAACACGGCGCGCAGGCCGGGGATCTTTTGGGCCTCTTCCAGGGCCATGTCCTTCGCATAGACAGGGACATCGCGCGCGATAAACTCGTTGCTGATCGACTCGATCTTGGCCAGCTCCGCGACGTTGACCTGCGCCTTGTGCGAAAAGTCGAAACGCAGCTTGGTCGGCGCGACAAGCGAGCCCTTCTGGTCGACATGGTCACCAAGGATCTCGCGCAGACCAAAGTTGAGGATGTGCGTGCCGGTGTGGTTGTTGCGCAGCGGGCGGCGGCGCGACTCGTCGTAGCTCACGACGACCTCATCGCCCACTTGGAGAGCGCCGTACTTGAGGTAGCCGATATGCAGCACGTAGCCATTGGACACCTGCACGTCCGTCACGGCCAGCTCACACACGCCATCAATCACCAGACTCCCCGTGTCCGCCTGCTGGCCACCACTCTCCGCGTACATGTTGGTGCGGTCGAGCAACACGCCGAAAGGCTCAGAGCCGCTCGGCAGCGACGCCGTCTTGGAGACAAACTGGTGCGCCTGGAACAGGGCCTTGACGGTGGCCGACATGGACGGCGTGTCGTACTTGAACACATCGTTCGTCTGCGGCACAGACGCGTCCTGGTCAAGGTGGCCCAAGTCGTGCACGTCGAGCTTAACCGCCTCACCCTCCTGCTGCTTGCCCTGGCCCTTGCTCGCCTCCTTGCTCTCAGCTTGTGCCTTGTCGAACTCGGCCTGGTCGAACGTGAGTCCCTGCTCCTCGGCCATGATGCTCGTCAGGTCAACGGGGAAGCCGAACGTGTCGTACAGGCGCCACACGTCCGAGCCACTCAGCTTCGTGCGGCCCTCGGCGCGCGCAGCACGCGCGTACTGCTCGAACAGCTTTTCACCGCGGTCCAGCGTGCGCGCGAACGACGCCTCCTCCTCGTCGAGGATCGCCTGCACCTCGCTCATGCGCTTGGTGATCTCGGGGAAGAATCCGCCCATCTGCTCGACCAGCGTCGGCACAAGCTGCGAGAAGAAGTGGCCGATCGGCACTTGGAAGTACTTGCGTACGAAGCGCGTGCCGCGGCGCAGAATGCGGCGCAGTACGTAGCCGCGGCCGTCCTTGTCAGGCACGCACCCATCACTAATGGCAAAGGTCAGTGTGCGCACATGGTCGGCGACAACGCGGTACGCCGTGTCGATACCATCCACGTCCTCGGCACCGAGCTTGCCGGTGTACGGGCGAGCGTTTGTCAGTTCCTGGATCCTGGCAAACAGGGGCGTGAACACGTCCGTGTCGTAGTTCGAGCGCTTGTCCTGCAGGATGGAGACGAGGCGCTCAAAGCCCATACCTGTATCAATGTGGCGCGCAGGCAGGGGGCGCAGCGAGCCGTCATCCTCACGGTTAAACTGGATAAAGACGATATTCCACACCTCGATCACGTCGGGGTCGTCCATGTTCACCAGCTCGGCCGCGTTACGGCCGCCAATGCGATCAAAGTGGATCTCGCTGCAGGGTCCGCATGGGCCGGTGGCGCCCATTTCCCAAAAGTTGTCCTTCGCATTGCCGGTCAGGATGTGGTCGTCCGGCACGCCCACCTTGCGCCAGATATCGCGGCCCTCCGTGTCCGGCTCGAGGCCTTGCTTCGCGTCGCCCTCAAAGTATGTGACATACAGGCGGTCGGCTGGCAAACCGTACACCTCCGTCAGCAGCTTCCACGCATACGAGATGGCCTCTTCTTTGAAGTAGTTGCCAAAACTCCAGTTGCCGAGCATCTCGAAGAAAGTGTGGTGGTAGGTATCCTTACCGACGTCGTCCAGGTCGTTGTGCTTACCACCCGCACGAATGCACTTTTGTGAGTTCACCGCACGGCGCAGTTTGCTAAAGTCGGACGACGGATCGACGGTGCCGAGGAAAATCGACTTGTATTGGTTCATACCAGCATTCGCAAACAGCAGCGTCGGATCGTCGTACGGCACAGTCGAGCTGGACGGCACATTCGTGTGTGCCTGCTCCTTAAAAAAATCGAGGAAGGTGCTGCGCACCTTGGCTGCAGGCCATGCCGTACTGGCAGGAGCGCTCGGCTCAGTCATCGTTCTAGTGCTGGAGTGGCGACGGACAAGTGAAAACGGGGGAAACGTCGTTGGCGGTACCGAACGAAGCAAGCGTACCAGCCGGGAGCCAAGAGGCATGCACAAGCGGCAGAAGACGCGAAAAGGCATCGCATCGCTGTCAATGGAGGTGTGTGTCCTCACTGGCCGCCTTCTCCTCGGCACCACAGGCATGTCGGCCTGGTCCTACTCTTAGACTACATATGCCGCCGTCAAGCTGGGCTTTGCATACACATCTACATGACTTAGTGGCGTTCGATGGATCTCATGAATTTGGGCGCGTCGAACTATATACGAGAACGGAGTCGTAGCCTTGGAGCCAACCGGGCTATAAGGCTGGCCGCGCCGTAGAGCGGCCTCCATATAGGGAGTGGCCCAAGCTCCTGCTGCTTAGGACCATGTAAGGGGGGGGTGGGACGTAGATGACCTAGTCCATCTCTCCGACACCAACGCAGCAGACAAACGGCGCTTTGACGGGCGACGCACGACTCCTGACTGTCACTGGACAAATAGGGTCACCGCTTTGTGCTGCGTCCATTGATTGGTCCACACAGATTTTTTTCCTGGTAGCCCAAATGAGCCATTGGACTGCCCCGCCCTATCGGAGGCTTCCATTCTGTAAACCACTCCTGTGGGGCACCCTTGCCCTTGTGGGTTACATCGTGGCTCTATCATTCTTTTATCGACAGAGCCTGTTCACGTACGGGGGACTGTCTGTTATTCTACCCGCACTCTTCCGTGTAAGAATGTCTTCTGCTTAGATGGCTCTCTTCTTTTTATAAAGATTCGCCTACACTTGCAGAAACATTCTTATTGAGAAGTACTTTGTGGTGCTGCTTCAAGTCAGCGTCGTGAGTGAGCAAACCATCAACCAATTGTGATCCCGAATGGACACACTGACTTGGCAATACCCTTTGCCCCATGAAAGGAACGCTATGCTAGGCGTTTCCGCAACTCCAGCGCCGGTGGCGCTAGCCGGTGGCACGAATCTCCTCCCCACTCATACTGATCCGCAGCTCCCGTCGAACCTAGGCATGCCCGTGCCAGGACGGGATGTCTTGGTCCGACATGGAGCTTTAGATGAAGAATCAGGCTCGGAAGTGCCTGGCGAAGGACAGGTGCTGAGCCAGGACTCAGGTCAGCCGCCCTGGCATCAGCCACCGGTCCTATGGAACGACTCGCCCGTCTCTCTTCCCGCTGTGGTACCGACTATGAGTGCGCCTATGATTAACGTATCCATGGCAACGCCCGTTCCACAGGAATCTGATATTTCGACCTCCCTGCCATTTTCGTCGGATGATGCCAAAGGACAAGGCTACCCTTTCTACACGTCGGATTCTCAGTCGTCTATGACCGGCTCACCTGTCGCAGGGTCCAATTCGGACACGTCTCAGTCGGGTTGGGAGCCTGTCATGTATCCCAATGACCCCGCTGCTACGATGGGTCCCATTTCGCTCCACCAGAACCATCGGCAGCCCCACAATGAACACTTCAAAGGGCTCTTGAAGCTGGATGTCAACATGGGATTCACAGGTGACTGTAAGATGGAGTCGCCAACGACAATGCTTCATCCAGTTGGGCCTGGTTGGAAGAAGCGCCGCTCTGCCTCCGATGTGGGACCACGAACGCCTTCCCTTCTGGGCCCCACGGTCGATGCCTTTACGTCCCCGATTGATGACCTGTCGTACTTGATCCATTCCATGGGTGGTAAGACGAGCCCTCGCGAGATGACCGCGCCCAGTATGGCCTCTACGGCGTCCGCTCCAGGGATCAACTTTGAGTCGCTGACTCTGCAGGCAGAAGAAAGCTCTCCGTCTCTCCAAGCCCCGTTGTCGCCCTCCCTCAAGCGCGATGCCAATTCGACAGATCCAACATTTGCTTCGTGTAATATCGGTGTGCCTTCTCAGGAGATGACACTGAATCCTTCCTTGATTCAGACACCTCCCAATGATATGGTCCGAAAATCAGACATGCAAGTATTCCAGGAACCCGGCATATATGCGGATGCCAACGAAGAAAACTTGGCAGGCCCTGTGCGCCACGGGTCGAAAAGTCCGCGGCCGCTGAGCCCCTATCATGCGTCGACACGCAGCGTTACGCCGGAATCGGAACACAGTTTTGACAACTCCATTCAAAACGAGGCAGCAGTGAGAATGATGCAATGGCGCTTTCCTCTTTCGGGTTCGCATCAGTCGCTGCACCCTATGGATGCATACGGGCCAGCGTTGCACCAAGGCGTTAGATTTCCGTCCACATCCAGGAACCCTCGACGTCACTTACGAACCTCGGTGTCAGAAGACTTCCAAGGACGCACGAAGCATGGCTCGTTGTTTCCTGTGGCTAACTCAATGGATCTGAGGCAACATGAGCTTCCATTCTTGTCCCCGTTGCAGCGGCATCAGGCTAGTTCCATGTCATCAGACATGGTGAAATGTCAATCCTCGCCTGGGCGGCAAGTAAGCCAAGAGGTTCCATCGACTACAGGCGTGAGCCTCTCGTCGCTAGAGGAGTATAACACGCTTGTTGATACGCAAGTCGAGCCGGACTCGTCACCGCGTAATGCGAACCAATCCTCTAATCGACACAGTCCTCGAGAGAACAGCGAGACGTCGTTCCACTCAGCCTCTCAAACGCGCACACCTGTGGTAACTACGTCCGCCTCACAGGCTGCGTCGGCTTCGCGACGCAAAGCCGAGGCACTTTATACGTGTCCCTTTCCAGACTGTGGCTCTACGTTTACGAGACAGTACAACCTACGGGGCCATTTGCGTTCGCACCTGGACGAACGTCCGTTCAAGTGCGAGTGGCCAGGGTGCGGCAGGAGCTTTGCTCGGGTGCATGATTGTAAACGGCACCACAATCTGCACTTGAACATTAAGCCGTATCAGTGCGAGGGCTGTCAGAAAACGTTTGCGAGGCTCGATGCCCTGAACCGACACTACAAGAGTGAGGCAAGTACCTGCGGGATCAAGGCTGCCGACAAACTGACAAAACCCTCTTAACGCTATCATTGTATATATTAGTAGACAGAGGAAACAGACACTTTTTGAACTGCCCGGTCTGCCACAAACCGACGCCAGGCGACCAGCGCCCACTGTGTAAGTCTTTAGATACGTACGCGCGCTGGCAGCAAAAGGAGCGAGTCAGCAAGCCAGCCTTGGCCAGGCGCACATCCGCCCGAGGCGATGCGCATAAACGATCCAATGAGGCAGTCAGTCACATTAAAGTAGTTCTGTTCGATGCCTCGCAGTAAATGCGCGGCACATTGCTCGGGAGTCTGGCCTTCGTCGGTGCCCTCAATCTCTTTCGTAAGAGAGGGCTTCGTCTTGTTTTCCTCCTCAAAGCCCGGCGACAGGATCGTGGCAGGAAAGTAGCTGTGCACCTGTATGCCATGCATTTGGAGCTCCATTCGCAAGCACTCGGCCAACCCTGCGACATGAGATCATTCGCGCACGTACCACGGATCGCATATTTCATGGGCGAGTATTGCGCATAGCCAACCATACCCATAAACCCGAGAACGCTGCTCACGAACACAATCTTTCCGTGCACACCATGCTGCTTCATCGAAGCTGCAGCAGCCTGTGTCAGGATCAAGGTACGTACATGCGCGGTGGCGAGTGCCGTCCAGTAATCCAGCTTCATACCCTGTTGAAAGTCGGCCTCATTCTGATCCAAAAAAAATCCAGGCTTGGCGCCACCCGCACAACAAAACACGGCGGAGGCCACGAAGGGGCACTGAGCCACTGCCTTGGCAGCCCCATCGAATGTCGACACGTCGCCGACCACATAGTCGAGTTGTTGCTCTTCGAAAGAGCGGCATTTCTGTCTGAGTCTTGAAATGCGTACCTCTACGTCTGCCAAGGCCGTCTTGAGCTTGGCCTCAGAGCGACTGCAGATCACGACATGCGCGCCACGCTGGGCTAGCAGCTTGGCCAGTGCAAGACCAAGACCCTGAGAACCACCGGTTACGAGCACATGCTATGGATAAGTGACCAGAACATACTTGTCCTTTCACGTTCCAAGAACGCCGGCACCAGACCATCTGGACAGCGCACGCAGCGACGACGGCCAACAAGATGAGAGTCCACATGGCGGAGCGAGGTGACCTCCACTTGTTGGTCTCCCATGTCTTGGACCTACACCCGGGGCATTGCCGAGTTGGCGCAATGCTCCAGGGTAGATGCACTGCTCAAGGTAGCAAGGCATTCCGATTGCTCACATGGATGGGACCTTTCACCTAATACCCTTTCTCCGTACGAAACCCCTGTTCATATGCCGTCGGCGACGGGTCCTGCCTGCGAGTGTGTAGGGATGGTGCCTCCCAAGAGTCTCGCATTGCAAGCAGGTGCTCGTCAAGAGGTATCAGAAGACGCACTTTTTCTGAAGTGGGATCGTTGTGGACGATGCGGCCATTCCCTGCGCTGTCATGGATACCTTGAGCTAGACCCGAAGGAAGAGCAAGCTCGCCGCATCAAAGTGGCGATTCGCATGGACGAGCTCCTGGAGGTGCGTGGAGCGCTACTGACCACTAGGACATGGAGAAACTGCTCGACTTTCAATACCAGGACCCAGATTTGGCTTCCCTTCGAAGGCAAATGCCCTCTCTGGCCTATGTGCGGACCAGACCGGGGCCGCCTTCTAGCAGAAACCAGAAGAAGGACAAGAAAAATAGCGCGTCTGGTCCCAGCCGGACAATCACCAACGCAGACACTTTTCAAACCTTGAATTTCATGTTTCAGCGGGCTTTTCAGATGGAATGGCAAGCGTGTGTGGGAGGGTATGGACCGGGCGGACGTCATTGTATGAAGGATCTTTTCTCGTTGGCACGGAGATCCGTGATTCGCCTAGATCCTTCCATAAAGCACAGTGTCTGTTCGCGTTGTATGAGGCCGCAGCTGGAAGGGCTAAACAGTCACACAACCATTCGAAGTACGTGTCTAGCATCTCACGCCAGTCACTAAAAGGCGCTCATTTGTACTAACAAAGTGTGTTGATTGCCAGCATGAGCGCATACGCCTAGGGCCAAATGCGTCCATACGGGTACAGCACATGAAGCCGAAGAAGTCCCAGAGAAAGAACCTGTCCCAGCGCCAACGTCGTCGGCGATGGCTCTATGCTCAGCATCAGCATGACACTCCTATGGAGACTCACGCGACGACTTTTGTTCCCTATGCCGAACGCCTCGAGGGGACTTCGTGGAAAACCAGACTCCTGGAACCTTCAGATTTCAATGACGAGGCCGTAAATGAGTCAATGAATCTTCGCGGTGGGCATCTGGTCACGGTAGGCCTTGGGCCGAACGGACAGGTCGGAGACCCAGTCGTCTACAATGCTAGTGTCTGATAGAGCTGTCCTTGCCCGGCTAGAAAGGGCTATCACGCTCGGCCGATGCGCACGGTGCACGTACGTTTCCCTCTTCTCGTGTTCTACGTGCGCCATGATCAACACACTCTATAGTGTGAGAGGGATGGTTACGTCCCCTCATCATCTTGCGAGTCAGGCGGGATTATCCATTCTGAAGGATGGGGGCACCGCTATCGAGGCAACCGTTGCAGTAGCAGCCGTGCTATCTGTGGTATATCCACACATGCTCAGTATAGGAGGAGACGGTTTCTGGCTGATCGGAGCGAATGGCCACACTCCTATTGCCATTGAAGCGTGTGGTCGATCTGGACAGCATGTTACACGGGACCTCTATCAAGGCTACGAGACTATACCGACTCGCGGCCGGCTGGCTGTGAATACAGTGGCAGGCGCCGTGTCTGGATGGGCTACCGCATTGCAAGAGTCCTCTCGATGGGCACCAAGCATGCCGCTTTCCCGAATTTTGGAGGATGCTATCTACCTTGCTGAGCATGGCGCTCCTGTTAGCCATACAATGGGCACTATGACCCGAGATCTCCAAGAACAGTTGATGGCGAGCTCGTCATTCTGCCATACATTCGCGCCTGACCAAAAGTGGCCACTTCCTGGTACGCTCCTTCGGCAGCCCAGGCTCGCTAAGACGCTGAAGCGTCTCGCGGAGCGTGGACTGGACGACTTTTACCGCGGAGAAGTAGCTCAAACGATTGCCAGAGACCTGGCTGCGATTGGATCCCCCCTGGTCGAGAAAGACTTGCGCTCTCATTGCGCACGGATAAGGAGACCTCTACACCTCAAAACTAGCCGAGGATCCATTTACAATTTTCCTCCGCCAACGCAGGGCCTTACGAGCCTTATGATCCTGGGGATTTTTGATCGTTTGCGCGTGCAAAAAGGCGATTCTTTCGAGCATATTCACGCAATGATCGAAGCTAGCAAACTAGCCTACGAAGTACGAGAGGACATTTGTGATGATGAATGGATGCCAGACGACCTGCAGCACTGCCTAGAGCCTCAGTTCCTAGATAAGATGGCCTCCCAGGTCGATATGAAGGCCGCCCGTCGTATTCAGGCGCCCTCTGGACCTGGCGATACAGCCTGGATGGGCGTGATAGATGGGGCTGGGCGGGCTGTAAGCCATATCCAGAGTGTCTTTCATCCATTTGGCTCCGCCATGGTGCTTCCCGACACAGGCATTTTGTGGCAAAATCGCGGGACGAGTTTCTCTCTGGAGCCTGCACATAAGAATTCACTTGCTCCCCGAAAAAAGCCTTTTCACACACTCAATCCTGCCATGGCGGTCGGCAGCGACGGACGACTGATTTCCTATGGAACGATGGGCAGTCATGGTCAGCCCCAGTTTTCTTCGGCCGTATTGTCTAGGTACCTTTGGTATGACCAGCCGCTACAAGCTGCCGTTAGCGCGCCACGATGGCTGGTAGACGCAGATCAGGTCTATGTTGAGAGTAGGCTGCGCCCGACCCTGATGGCGGAACTGGGAAAAGCAGGACATCACATCACCAAATTAGGTGAATATGACAGTCTCTTTGGACACTCTCACGCCATTGCTCGGAGACCAGATGGTGTTTTGGAAGGAGCAGTCGATCCACGAAGTGACGGTGTTGTTTCAGCTTTCTAACACCTTGATAAGCGGTCAACCCCCCTGATGATTCCTCGACGTACGACTCTGGTAGAATGTGGAGGGCACTGTTATGCCATTGGTTGATCGTCTTCCAAAGTTTCAGCAACCGTTTGCATGCGTTGCAACTCGTTAACATCCCGCCACCATGAAACTAACGGCTCTTCTCATAGCCCTTGTCACCATGTCGGTACAGGCGTCAGTCGCAGTGACCCCAGGGATGGTCACCGAGAGTGGACAAGGATTCCCTGAGGGCTTTCCTCCACACTTTCCCAAGTTCTCATGGGCGTTCAGTTCTTACGATAACGCTCATTGCCAAGGTCATTCCAAGCCAGTGGCGAGCCACAACGGGCTCGGATTTTTTGGATTCAACAGCTGTGGACGCTTCTCTTTCAAGAAAGATGACAATGTTAAGGCTCTGAGCCTTTGGGTTCGCGACGACCAACATGCGATGGACTTCCAATTGTGCACGCACGACAAGCAGTGCTTTGTCGCGCATATTAAACCCAATTCTTGGCAGTGTGTGTCTCTGATTCCAAATTCGCAGGGTATTCCCGAAAAGAGCAATGTGCCATCCCTGGTTGGTAAACTGAAGAGCATCTCTGAATGTTAAAAGGACTATATACCCTAAATCTTGTAGATACCAGCCACCATTCAAAAACTTGATTATGACTACAGAGACATTAATGCAGAGGCAGAAATGAGGTTGGGGGGGTGTCAAAAGAGTGTTAAAGGGTCTCGACAGTCATACTAGTGGTGTCTGTGGGATGCGTTTGTGCTGCGTGCTGAAAATGTGGATTTCATACTTCTTGACACACTCCAAGACCAAAACATCCGCCATTAGAAAAAACTGGTGTATCCATTATGCCTGCTTGGCAAAACCAAGGCGGTGTTTGTCCTGATCAAAGATCACTGTGGCAGACTGGAAAAATGGATCACCCATGATCCAAGCCTTCATGGGAAGGCCACTTCGACCCATAATTGGCAGGACACAAGTGGTGCTATTCTGCTTAAGGTGCGTGTTAGCCAGAGGGAAGGTCTTGCTGCCATACTTGATGTTCACCTTCGGGTTCTCTTTGCACGGGAAGGTGGCCATAACTTGGCCATTTTGGTCCGATATAGTGACGCCGTCGATAGACTTCAGCACTTCCTTGACCTCATTCGGGGGGCCAATAATAAGGGACGTCCCCGAATCGATGATAGTGCGAATATCCTTTCCATTGATAGAGGCGGAGGCCACGTAAAAGCCATCCGAAGGATCAAAGTCCACCCATGTGATGCTTCCAGTGTACTTGGATGAATCGATACCACCCAGGTGCAATGACGATCCACTGCCAGTCTTGATCGTGAACTGGAAAATACCCTGAGAAACAGCGCCCTGCTCACGAAGAGTCTGGAAAAATGGCTTGTATGAAGAAGGGAACGTCTGAATTGAAGGCATCGAAAGACCACTGATGCCCTTGTTCGGAGACTCCCTGCTGGCAATAAATTCCTTCTTGGAAAGACCAACAGCCACATGCTTGCCTTTGATGCCACCAATAGAAAAGTCGTCCGTGTAAATGGTTCCATTGGCCTTCCTGCCATCTGAGTATGTGCTGGAAAAAGATTTCTTGGTATTATGAGACGAGATGGATAGACCGGGGTTGTAGGCGCCATGGTTCACCAGCATGTCAGCCGAGCCGGTGTCAAAGTCCACGTATACACTCTGGGGAGGGAAACCAAACTGGACCTGTCCTGTCCATAACAGGCCATTGTCCACATTGCGAAGACCCACAGAGCCTTCTGAACCGCGCTTCGAAAGCTGAAGCGCTTGTAGGGGATGTTGCTTACCCGTGTTTCGGAAGTAGTTCTCTAAGGCCGTCGAGTACTTGATAACAGCATGGCTAAAATCGCCGGAAAAAGTTGTGATCTGATCTTCGCCAATCTGGGCGGGGTCTTGTCGACGAGTCAGTGGTATCGAAAAGTTCCCCGCAGACTCAGCAGCAGCCAGTGTAGCGGTCACAAGCCCGACGACGACCTTGAGGTGCAAGAGCATGATATAGTACATTCAGCGCTCTAGGTATTCATTTTAAGGCAATCAGATTAATTACCTTCATTACACGGCACAGCTTAGGGAAAGTTGTGATGCGCACGATTTGAACAGGTGGTATGCAAGGACCCTTTAAATCACCACGTGATGCATTGTAACAGCCAATGAAAGGATGTCTTACGTAGTAAAATCTTTTTATAGCCAACCTGCATATGTCGGTAAAATCTGCAAGCGAAACGAAGCGCCCCTGAAGGCCATCGAGCCAACGCGATAATTTAAATTTTAACTCGGCAGGGGGTATGCTGCATACAAAGTTTGTGTTCAGGGTAGATCGCAAATTACACTCCTGCCCCTGACTAATACAAAGGTGAAGGGTCTCTCATCCTACAGGAACGGGGCTTAATTTCATTCGTGTAGGCAAGCACATTTTGCAATGATGCAAAAAGCAGCTAATTCTCAGTGGCGCAATATATAGAAGTCCGATGAGCGACATCTCATCTTGGGCCGCAGAGCGTCCCACCATGGAGGGGGGGGAGCAAAACTTTTTTAGGCTGCTATGTACCAACGAGCCCGGTTTCATGCTCATTAGCTTGGTATATGTTGCGGGCAATATTCCCAGTCGCTGAGGCTTTGAATGGCATTTCGCCTATAGACGGCGTGCCGTAGCATTTTATCCAACGGTTTACTCTCAATAGTTGCAGACGGGCATAACTCAACAGAGATCTATTTTTACGGAGAAGATGAACTGCACAGAAAGCTTGGAGATGATCTTTCGAAGGACTAATCATACTTCATTGTGGTATTCCGACAGTGCACCATCTTATTTGTTTGCTGGTCTTATTGCGGTACTTCGCGGGTGCTTAGGTGACTTTTTTTTTTAAGATTTAAATGTTGGAAGAGGATTGACGGCTTGTTCATTCTGCGGTAGCAAAAATTATTATCATCCGATTTGCTGCAAACAAAGCCTTTCCTATGTTACATTTTTTGACCAGGAAATCTCTTTTTGATTCAATATTTAGCTTAGGAAAGAAAGAGAGAAGATGGAATGCTTCACCACCAAATTCAACAAGTTCACCCATGGGCTTATTTTCGATGATCGAGACCGTCCCGTAGTCAGATATTCTTCCTCTCTCTCTCTCCTTTCATTCGGGTCACATAAAACTGTCGTTGACATAAATCCCGAGAGTGTTTTCTGTTCTAAAGTTTAAGCTTCTACTACCTGACCAAATGATTCGTTTGCCGATTACCCCCCATGGCACGAGGGCTTTCTAACTGGCGATGGTCGCCGTTTGCGCGGTGGTGTCACTAGACACAGGAATCCGGCGCTCGAACCACAATGAGAGGGAAAAGACGATGCTTTACTCGTCCTTGTGACTAGGGACCATCAACGTTGCTCTCCCAGCTTATTTTTCTGAAATCTCTTCCTCTTGCTGTCTTGGCCGCCCTCTTGCCGGAACAGGAGACCACGATCAGTTCTGTCTCCGCCGTGAGCCCAACCATTCCAAGTTCAGAGACGATGGAACAACGGCGAAACATATCTGCAACGCACACAAAAGCGGTAGTTATGTTTTTAATACCGATCAGACTATTTGCTGGCTCAAAAATTATGATGTAAAGAGGGGGGGGGGGCGCTGCCAAAGTCACGTCGACGTGATGGCGAATAAGGGCACAAAATTTAATGCTGGCACTCCTATTCAAACTCTGATTGAGTTTGATTTGTACCGATTGGTTATCCTTCGGATATGGGAGTAGATCCCCCCAGCGCCCCGAGCAGCAGACTTGATATCCGGGCGATGAAGGATGTATGCGGTACACTCTCAAGTGGCAAGTACCAAGATGAACCGACGAAACGGTCGTGCAGGGTTGCCAGCTATGACGTGCAGTGGTTCACAGATCGTTGCGCAGCAATAGACAATGTGAGACGTGGTTTCTACGCTGGAACGGACCTTGAGCCTGTGATGGATCTGTCGGTGGGCGTTGAAACCCATCATTAGAACCGATCAGCCTTTGGAAAGACGACTCAGTTCTGCAATACGCAGGTGTGCTTTTGTCATGTGCATACTTGAGTTCTTGTTTTCTACGTGTTATTAATAGTTGCTTAGTTGAACGTAGACATAGTTAATGACACTCCAATGCATTGAGGGTGTAGCTGACGAAGAGCAATAATTCAATGCAAATGGTGATACTCAATGGACTCTTGGGACACTTGAAATAGAAGCCTATGTTTAACTTCCTTCCGATTCGGAGGATCATATGCCTATCCTGACAGGCAAGTGTCAAGAAGATCTTAAATGCATGGTGTAAAATAGCACATACGGAAAGGGTCCAAGCTCTTACTTTCCGTCAAGGAATACCATTCCTTAGCCACGAAACAATATGGTGCAAAGCATTTCATGCCCCAGTCCGCATATCAGTTAGAAGCGTTATCCATGTTTCTCCCATTCCATATCTCTTGTTCAAGAAAAATACTCTCAATTACCAAACTGTATCAGTAATTTGGATATCAAAATGATGAACGTGCAAGAAGGATATTCGTTCACTAAGGTCTAGGGTCCCTTCGATCGAATATGCTCAATGCTGAAACTCGTCATGGTACGACCAGTTTTCCCTACAAATGCCTTAATAAGTGGATGTACTCCTTGCATTGGACATGGTCCTGATAAGTATGCCTCTCCCAAAGTTCTGCTCTGAACGATCCATTCAGCTGTCAATACCCATGACCGCATGGCTCGACCCCCCTGCATGGCACGTGGGCTAATTAATCGGCCCTCCTAACCGCATGTCCGACAGTTTATCTTGACACGGAAAACCGGCGCACGCGCCACTTTTGGTCACAAAAGATGCCTACTTAAAGTCTGCTCCCAATCTCACGGCTTTCCCCATCAGCATGTTCTTCCAGCTTATTCTACTAGCATTGCTCCCTTTCGCTACCACTGCCACTCCGATCTTGGAACGGTCGGATAAGTACAAACCCTTGTTCTGCTTCCACAAGGGACAGGACCAGATGTATTCGATCAATGATAATTTGACCAAGGGTATCTGCACTACACTCAGCAGCGGTACTTATCTTAAGCATTTGGTTCTCTCGCCATGCAGGGTTGCAGACCATGACGTGGCGGCGTTCAAGGAGCATTGTGAGAGCCATAATTCAAAGAGTGATCCGACCGAGTGGAAGGCAGGATCGAAACTGGATGTCGTGTGGGACCCGAAGGAGCCTTACGATCTGTACTGCTTTGTCGAAGAGGTGACGTTTGATGAAAGTAAAACGCAGGCGGGAATCCATATTGCCTCCGATGCGACACCGGATGTGTGCCATGCACTGAAGAGTGGAAAGTACCAAGATAATAAGAAGTCGTGCCGGGTCGCGAAGGAGGATGTCGATGGGTTCCACAAGAAATGTTTGCACTATTATCCCACCGGTTACCCCCCCTCGTATTCTACTTGGATCCCAGGCACTGCTTTGAAGCCTTCCATGTGAAAGGGGACAATAGCTAAATCTTTGCAGCCAGAAACCTTGCCTTTGTACGCCCAAAATTTTAGTTATCTATATAATGATTGGCATTGATAGCTGAATGCCGCTGAAAAGGGCACTCGGGGAGAGAGCGTTGCGGCATGAAAATGCCGCATTGCCATGCTATCTGCAAGAGAGGGGGAGTAAAGGGAGCGCTGCAGGCAGGTATTGTCAGGTTACCTGTCCGTGTCCTCTTACAGATGCAGCATTTTTGGGGGGCCTTACAAGGGAAAAGTTTGCATTCTGGAGTAGATGAGAATTGCTAGTGTCCCTTATCTTAGTGTTATCGTTGCGTGCAACAGTCCACGATAGCAAAGAAACCCCCCCCCCCCCAGTTACGGAATGAGTGGTGAAGGCAGGTTGGAGGAAAACTGCGTATGTACCCACAGCGTAGAGTTACCAAAAATGTTTTGACAAGAGTTTACGTGTACAGGAAACCTTTATGACTGAGATACGATTTAGCTATTGGGTATAAACGCCTGGAACAAGCTACATGCATCAGGCCCCCCTCTTTTTTGTATTCAAACATGTGCTCTTAGCCAATACACATCAGCCTTCTTTCCCCTTTAGAGTCAATTCCTTAGGTGTTAAACTAGCCTCACTGGCTCTCGATGCCATCATGAATGCGCGCGTCAGCGTAGAAGCTCAACTACAAGTTACCCCCCCCCCCCATCAGACTCTGTCCGAACTCAGGCAGTGCGTCCTGGAAGCCCTTCGGCTCGTACCGTTGATGCTGATACCCCTATCATCGGCATGTACATGCAGAACTGGAACACGTGTTCCTTCGTCCTTTGCTTCTTTTTTAGCGTCTGCAAAATTTACGACCCCGCTTTGTGGTGGTAAAAATCGTCACCTGACCATTGTGTGGGAAAACGCTTTTTGAATATTGTTTCAGAACCAGAATATTTTGCTAGATTTCCAACTACATTCATCATTCCATAGAACTGAAGAGCAAGTATAGGGATTTCGATTGAGCAGGCCAGCGAGCCTAGCGCATGAGCTTATTTCCGAACCTCCTAAGCAAATTCCTGTGACTTGATAGCCAATCTGTTTTGAACCTGCTATTCAGATCTCGTAACTCTCTCGTCGACCTAAGGTCTAGGGATTTTTCTCTTCCAAAGTGCAAGGGAAGGGGGGGGGGTCAATGCACATGATCGCATGGCTCGACCCCCCTGCATGGCACGTGGGCTTGTTAATCGGCCCGCCCTCACCGCATGTCCGACAGTTTATCTTGGCACGGAAATCCGGCCCATGCGCCACTTTTGGTCACAAAAGATGCCTACTTAAAGTCTGCTCCCAATCTCACGGCTTTCCCCATCAGCATGTTCTTCCAGCTTATTCTACTAGCATTGCTCCCTTTCGCTGCCATGGCCACTCCGATCTTGGAACGATCGGATAAGGGCAAACTCTTGTTCTGCTTCCACAAGGGACAGGACCAGATGTATTCGATCAATGATCATATGACCAAGAGTGTCTGCAATACACTCAGCAGCGGTTCAATGTCAAAGGATGATGGTAATTATTCGTTTTATGGATGCAAAGTTGCAGACTATGATGTGACGTGGTTCAAGGAGCGTTGTGAGAGCCACAATCCGAAGAGTGAGGCGACTGAGTGGAAAGCAGGATCGGAGCTGGACGTCGTGTGGGAACCCAAGGAGCCGTACGACCTGGGCTGCTTCTCTAGGTGGCTGGATTACCCTGCCGATCTGGTTAAATTATCTACCCAATTCGACCGCGATGCGACAATGGATGTGTGCGCTTCAGTAAAGAGTGGAAAGTACCATGAAGGTAAGACGAAGAAGTCATGCCGGGTCGCAAAGGAGGATATCAGTTGGTTTAAGAAGAAGTGCGAGATCTACGATGACGACGACGACGATTTGTTTATTGCGGGTACTGCTATGAAGCCTGTCATTTAAAGCGATCAAATGCTTAGCAAAGTCCGAGCAGCCAGAGAAAGCCTTTGTGTATAGAAGCATAACCAACTAAGGTTGAAATTGTAAGTCGGAAGAGGGTCTGATTCCATAGCTACGAATCTATAGCAGCTACAGTAAGAGCAGTAGATGAGAGGAATCCGCGTATATGCCGTGGGTTGAGATCGCGAAAACAAAACGGCGTGAAATATCATATGCCAGGGACCCTGGGTACTCAGTCTCTCGTTTCCAACGAACGTTTCTAATCGCCCCCCCCCCCTTTCCCCACCGTCTACCGAGTCGGGGGAGTCATGCTCCCCCCGCGCCCCTAGTACGAATGGGGCAAGGAGCGCTGCGAGAGTCGCCAAACAGGTGAGAAGATGACCAATTGGATTGGGGGGGACGGACCTGAAGATCGAGATGGAGAAAGAAGGAGCCGTATGAATTGTACTGTTTCAATTATTATACGACGTTCGGGAACCTTCCGGATGCCGGTGCGAAAGACCTGGACGATGATGCAACGAAGAAGGCATGTTCGGCTACCGAGAGTGGCAAATACCAAAGTGGTCCCAAGAAGAAATCATGCAGGATGGACAAAAAGGACATTGATCAGTTTAAGGAGCAATGTTCTCAATATCAACCCTCGGATCGTTCCCCCTATGGAGATTGGTCCGCTGGCACGAGCCTGAATGTGGTGCTGAATCTCAAGAAGCACGCCTGAATAGAGCATCCAGCAGGACAACCGATATATGGGCCGTCGTAAAGTCGGATCTTTGGGTCGTAGTAATCGAGGTAGAGATAGCCAACGCTTTGGTCCCATGAACTATGGTTGATGACTGTCTCCGTGAGGCCGCGTCTAGCCTTGCTCTCGTGTAGTTGTGCTTGAATTTCTTAGTCTAGGGAATGAGCCCTTATAACCAGTGCATGAAATAGGCCCAAGGACGAAGCATCAGGTAATCGACATATCGATCTAAGATGGGTCAGATGGTTCCATTACTATATCCGTTACGTGTACAAAAATCCTGGATGGGAAACATAGGCAGTAGCCTGGGTCGGCAGACTTGCTGATGATAGTACATTGATGCGGAGCACCAGTATCCTAGGCAACGTCACGGATGTCCGACATTCGCCCCAGTAGCGTACGGGGATCCACACGTGCCGCCATGGCGTGGAGGCCGCAAAGTCCGATTCCTTTTTCATAGCAGAGAAGCTCCCCTCCACACCGGATTTTGTCGCCGCAATACCGTGACCGCCACAAAGGGCATCTCGGCGCAAATGCGTATAAAGCGCGCATCGACACACCCCACGACCCATCGTCTCAACTCACTCTTCCTGATGAAGTCTTTTGCTATTCCTGCTACTCTCGCTGCACTTGCCATGGCCGCCACGCAGGCGGCTGCGGCCCCTACGCAAGCGTCCGACATGCACTGCCACCGCGTCCAGGGCCCGAAGAAGCTTAGCATCCTCACAATTGGTCTGAGACACTTTGAGGGTCGGTCCGGCGTGGCTATCCATAAAAGCTCCGATGGCCGCTATCTGCTGCATGATGGTGAAAATTCAGATGACCGGTTCGAGTTTTTCCAGTGCGACTCGCCACCGAACGGCTTCAAGGCGACGTCCAAGAACGTGTCGCGCGGTCAGGTGAGGAGTGAGAAGCACCCGGACAAGTGTTTGACCGTGGGTGGCGTGGACAATCGCCCTCGCTACAACTATGATCCAGAGTTACCGGACAATCAGAAGCAGGGCGACTTTGACACAAAGAACGGCGTGCTCTCGCTGCAGCCATGTTCAGAGGACCCTCGGCTGCAGTGGTGGGAACTCATTCCTGACTCTAACGACATTTTCTACATCGGATCCGAGGGGGATAAGCGGCGCGATAAAGTGAGCAGCAATTTCCATAACGTGATGTACAACTTCAGGGTCTTGAACGCGGACAAGGCGCCCTTTGGCCCCCGCAATGGTCCCTATTTGCAGCTCTTTGAATAACTAGGGAGTTGATCATTGATTCATAGAGATTGCATTGTTGTTCGGCTGGGCGTGGGTTCCGAACTCTGGTGGGAGGAATCCAATTCCTTGACTAAGAGACGATATAGCAATAGTACGAGTGATGAATGTATTTAGATGAACTCCGCGCTTGGGTCACTGAAAGAGGCCTCGAACAAAAAGCCCTCAGGCGAAAGCTGACAACCTCCCCTTCGGCCGAGTCAGAGGGGAACTTCGCCCCCCCTCCCCCCCCCCCCCTTCCGCAACCCCTCCACCGACAGCTGCTCCGTCACAAGCACCCGGACCATCGGGTCCTAGTTGGACGAATGCAGTGATAAACAGGAGCTCTTGTTCTGGGCCCTTGAATCCAACAGACAAATTTCTCACATGACGACCCGCTACTCGCTCACAGTGTGCCACTTGTACTCCCTTCAATGAGGCCCTGGACACGCCTCAAGACTCGCAGGCTTGGCATTGCCACCCTAGATCGATAGCCGGCTGAATTTGAGCGGCCCCTGTATCATCATCTGAATAATCAGCAAGCCATTATTCCCCTAATTTATTCTCAATGACCTCTGCCATGGCCTCCGTAATGCCGTCGCCCGCGGCAGGCGCAACTAACTTTCGTATCATAGCTGCCATCCAAGAGGCAGCAGTCATGGCTCCCTTTCCTGTCCTATGCGTCCAGGCTTTGGGCATGTATCCGCCGTGATTACCTGGCCGTTGTGGTGCACCTGTCGAGGGCCATACCAGTGCCGGACAAGGGACTGTCGTTGCTTGGCCCCCGTGGCTTGGAAGGAGCCCCCACGTCATGCCTAGGATGCCAGAGAGCGAGCTTGATCGAGAACCAGGACTTTATCGCTAGCCCAGGTTGCCCTGCGTTGCCCAGGCTGCCCTAATTACCCTGCATGCCTTGCCCAAATTTCATTTTTCCAGAGTGGCCCAAGCGAGCCCAAGTGACCCGCTCTGGAGGGGACCTAATTGGAATTTTTTTCAAGTAAGCCTGACTGAGAATGACAATAGTGAAAGGAGGACGAAGGGAGGCAAGAGGGGGCGGAAAAGGGAGTTACAGTGGAGGCATAGGGTAGCTGGAGGCGATAGAGGAACACTACTTGTCAGAAAAGGCGCCGAATGAGCCAACACAAGGCCCAAATGTGCCCCCTAAATGACCCAGCCAAGGGGATTGAATGCGGGGTAAACGAACGAAAGTGGAGGAATTAACTGGGTGAAAAACGAAGCTGGCTTCAAGAGGAGGCTGACCCCTACCTCGAAAAACGAACGAATTGAGCAGCGATCTTCGGGATATGACAAGATAGAACTGCGAAACAGCGGCTTTTAAAGAGACTAGTCTGAAACGAGGACCTATGGGAGGGAAACAGGCCCTCACTCAGGGCTGATCCGTTGAGCGCGATTTCACGTGACCACCGAGGTTGCCCCATGTGGAGGGAGAGCGAGCGAGGGCAGCCAGGCCAGAATCAGGGTGAAGAGAGGAGGCATTACTGGTGATTGAGTGATGATAGAGAACTAAAAATAAAGCCATGTGAAGGAGAAAGAGGAGAAACGAAGATATGATAAAAAGAGGGAAGGAAAAGGGGGACAGAAAAGGGATCAATGAAGGGTGAAAGCTAAGAAGTAGACTAAGGGAAGTAGGGGAAGATTGAGGGCAATAGAGGGGACTATAAGAGAGGCTGACGAAAGGAATGGAGAAATGAAGCAGGGAAGAAGAGATGATGAGAAGATGGGAGCGGGAAGGAAGCTGAATGAAGGGTATGAATGATTAGGAGAAAAGAAGAAGGGGGGAGAAATGAGAGGTAAAGAAGAGAAGCAAGAGGGAGAGAAGAAAGTTAGAAGAGGAAGATGATGATGAGGACAAGGTAGGAGACATTTTAGGAGAGAAAGAAGGAGGGCTGGGTTAGAGAAGATGAGTAGAAAGGGGAAAGAAGAGAGGGAGAATCAGGGCGAAAAGAGGAGGATAAATGGCATATTAGGAGGAGAAAACTGACATAAGAGTGTTTTCAAGCTAGGAGACTGACATGGAGGAAAAAGAAAGAAGGAAAGGGAATGAAATGGGAGGGAACAAGAGGGTAGTTTAGAGGGTAGGCTGAGGGAAGGAAAGAAAGGGAAAAGACAGTTCTGAGCGGGCCCCGAAAGACCTCCACCTACCTCCACCCAGCCGCCCCTCCAGCACACCTCCATTGCACAACGAAAATTCGTCAAGAACGACATGACAATTTCTCCACATGGGCACCACATCGACTCCGCAGCTTGATTTACCTCCACTCACCCTATCTGCCTGTCTCCACCTCCACCCAACTCATTATTTTGAAGATTCTGCAAGATTGACGCAGGCGCACATGAGGTGCATGACAGCGCAGGTAAACAAGGGGTCACATGATCCATTCGTGTAAGCAGATGAGAAACTAAACAAAAAAGTGGAATTATGAGAGTAAGACACAGTAGAATTGAAGAGCAACAAATCCTTTAGTGATAATATCCTCCACATGGTGAACACAAATTCAAAGAAACAAACAAAACCATCCAACACCAACGAAACACACACAAACTAACGAAACTAACACAACTTGACAAAGCATACACAAGCCAACGAATCCGAATCAACTCAAGAGATTCATTTAACTCCCGGCGGTTCATTTAAGTCTAAGTGTTAAGTGTTAAGTGTTAAGTGTTAAGTGTTAAGTGTTAAGTGTTAAGTGTTAAGTGTTAAGTGTTAAGTGTTAAGTGTTAAGTGTTAAGTGTTAAGTGTTAAGTGTTAAGTGTTAAGTGTTAAGTG